AACCCCAAAAACCTTATACTAACCTAGCTAGCGTCACCAGCCTTCAAATGACCATCTAAAATTTACTGATGAGTAAAAAAAAGGTGAGTATTGGGATTTCGTGTCGAAACATTTGCCGCGTAGCGTCTTCTTCACTCAAATACAGAAATGACATTATCCAGGGGAAGTGGAAGAAATGGGGAGGGAAATTTTGAGAGGGCAGTTCATTAAAGCGAGTTGTCTTTTTCAGGTGTTGTGGACAGTACCATCCCGTAGCCAGCTCAGCCACAACTTTTCCCCCTTTTTCAGGTGCAGGCACTGTAGTGCCCCCCTTTCCACCCCCCCTTCAGAGGAGGCACTGTACTTCCCACTTCCACCAACAAGTGCAGGTCTGTACTTCCCACCTCCCCCCAATCAGAGTGCAGGTACTGATTCCCCCCTTCACTAATCAGAGTGCAGGTACTGTACTCCAACCCCACCCAAACAGAGTGCAGGTACTGTATTCCCCCCTCCACCAATCAGGTTAGGCATGTACTTCCCCTTTTACCCCAATCAGAGTGAGGCACCCTACTTCCAACTCCAGAGTTAAAATACTGCTAATAGTTTCCCCAAAAATTTTTTGGCAGTAAATTTAACTCTCATTGAAAAAATTTTTCTCCACTCACCCATTTAAAACTCACAGACCCTGCAGGGTGCTCAAGCCCCTACCACCAACACCTCTTTCACGCCTTTTCCTTCAGCCCCCCCCGGGACGTTCCAATCATTCTTGCCCCCCACCACAACCTCTCTCTCTCTCAATCAAACCTTTCCACTCTTTTACATGACAAACTAGTCAAAAACTCCCTACCTTGCTCTGTGAATTGTAATTTCGCTCTTGCGAGTGTCCATGAAATTTTTTCGGAATTAGTAACCCACTGTTGCACTTTTTCTTATTTCTTACAGGGAAAGATGGGGCACTGCAGCAGGCCCAGCTGGTTTAAAAATTACACCAACCCCCAAAGGAAAGAGCAGCAGCAAAAGTAAAAGCACAGCAATAGCGCAGTAAATACAACTGTAATAACAGCAGCGGTAAAAGCAGCAAAATTTAAAGCATGGCGTAAAAAGAACAGCGCAGCAGCAGCAGCGCAGCAGAGCAGCACGCAGCAGCAGCGCAAACAGCGCAGCAGCAGTAAAAAGCAACTTGCAGCGCAGAGCAGCGCAGCAGCAGCAGCAGCAGTAACGAAAAAGTAGCAGCAGCAGTAACAGAAACAGTAGCAGCAGCAGCAGTATTACGCAAAATAGAGCCCGCGCAGCAGCAGCACAGTAAAAGCAGCAAAAGTAGCAGCAGCAGCAGTAAGAGCAACAGCAGCAGTAGCCAGCAGCAGCAGTAAAAGCAACAGTGCAGCAGCAGCAGCAGCAGCGCATAACGCAGCAACAGTGCAGCACAGCAGTAAAGCAACACAGCGTAGCAGCAGCAGCGTAACAGGGCGAGTAACAATAATAACAACAGCAGGAGAACAGCAAAATCATCCCCCAAACTTAACTAAAAAAATGGATTATGGGGTTTGGGCAACAAACGGAGGACCGGTCTTTCAAGACCAACACAGGTCCCCGAGGTGGTTTGGCCAGTGTCTGTGTCATGGCTGGGTTGGCCCGGTTTTGTGTTATGGTGGTGTTGGCCGGGCTTTTGTCATGGTGGGGTCGGCCCGTGTCTGTGTCATGGGGTGTCTGGCAGTGTCTGGTCATGCCTGTGTCTGGGCCGTGTCGGGTTTATGGTGGTGTCTGGCCAGTTTTCTTGTCATGGGGTGTCGGCCATGTCTGTTCATGCCTAAGTTGGCCTGTCTTGGCCCGGGTATTTTTGGCCCGTGTCTGTGTCGCTAGTGTCTGGGCCCGTGTCTGGTACCTTTGTCTGGCCGCTGTGTCATGGCTAGTGTCTGGGCCGTGTCTGGTCATGGCTGGTGCTGTCCACGTCTTGGTGCCCCAGTCATCCCTCTGGACCCACTCCTGAGTCACCCAAATTTCCCCCCTTGTAGCAATCCCCCAAGGGGGGTTCCTGAAAAATGAGTAATGATTCACTATACCCAGAGGAACCAACAACTGAGTCACAGTTCGATCCCGGGGGGGGGAACGGTGGTCATGTTTCAACACACTACTCCCGGACGTACTTGTTCTTAATCTGTTAAAAGGGGTAAAATTCCCAACAATAAAAGAAAATTTTCTAATCCCTTTCCGCGGTCACTGAGAAATTTTCTGCCCCTCCTTTAGACCAGGAAAATCATTTTCTGGGGGAACAATTTGCCAAATTGGGGGTACCCAGAGGGTTCGTTCGGGACCCGCTGAAAAAGAACATCTACCTTTTGACATCAAAAAGAACAAGTAACAAACACAACGATTCAGGAGTGCTAAAAGACTGAACCCTGGGAGTTAGGGCACTAGGGGGAAAACTCGTGTTCAAAACTCGACCGTTTTAAAGCAAAACCACAAATTATATACTATATTTAAAATATTTATATAAATATATATTATATATAATATATATATTATATTTTAATAAATTATATTATAATATATAATTTTTTTTTTTTTTTTTTTCAACAAAAAGAAAATCCCCAAAAAGAAAAAACTTTCATTCATTAACACTTTCACCACCCAACATTATTACTGTTTTTTCAGGGTGCTCAAACAAACGTTTTGAAGATTACCCTATAAAGAAACAAAAATATCCCCCCAAACTGCCAATATCCCCAAAACCCCCCTTTAAAGTGCAGGCATGTCTTCCCCTTTTCCGGGTCAAGTCCGACATATGAAAATACCGGGGTTTTCCCCGAATCCCTTCACTAAAATTACCCCCGCTCCCAAAACCCAACGTCGTCAGGTCCCAAAATATCATTCGTCCCATTCCTCCTATCTAACACGCTCATGCAGCTTTGGGGGAAACCAAGCCCCTCGCCACAAAAATCCCTTTACCCCTCTTTCCAACCCTTTCGAGGACGACCCCTACCCCTCCCCCCTTCCCCTATAGATTTATATCTTTCCCGCATTCTACTTTGACATTTTTCTCTAAATGAAAACCACCCAACAAACCCCCCTTCTGCCCTCTGACTAATGCTTTTATTAACTCCACACCTTCTCCTTTAATTTCCACACTCCCCAATTTTTTGCTAATATTTTTCACCACACTTTCCCTTAAAAAGGACACTCCATGCCTCAACCGTCTCCTCGCTGCTGCATTTACCCCCAAGCTTCAATCCATTTAAAAAGTGTTGGTACTACTATACTTTATACATTCCCTTCTTTCCTCCTAGTAATGTTTTTTACCCACTTCCTCAAAAAACCTCTCCTTCATAAACCCATCCGCGACACGTCAACTCCCAAGTATCTGAAAACATTCATTTTTAATCCCCCCCCAATTTGATATCCAATTTTTTTTATCTAAATCATTTGATCCCCTCCACCCCTTTTTTTTTCACTTTAACTTTCTACCTTTACACACATTCTCAAACTCACCCACTACCTTTCGCAATTTTTTTTTAGAACTCCCATATGACGTATCATCGCAAAAAGTAACTGTGTAATTCCCTTTTTAAATTTTGTTTCCCCCAAAATTTTAATCCCCCCCCCTCTCCCGAACCCCTAGCATTTACTTCTTTTAAAAACCCCCATTTTAAAAATATATTAAACAACCTGGTGGCATTAACTTCCCTGTCTAAGCCCTACTTTTCCCGGGAATTTTTGTCTCCCTTCTTCTACACACCCAAAAAAGAGCCTCACTATCCTCAAAAAAGTTCTTTACAGCATTTGAAACTTACCACCTTTTCCCATAATTTGCAACAACTGCCACATTGTCCTCTATCCACTCTATCATATCCCTTTTCAAAATCCATAAATCAATAAAAATCCCCACCTTATCTAAATACTGTTCACATAATGTTTTAATGTAAACACTTTTCTAACACCCCTACCCACTCTGAAGCCTCCCTTGCTCATCCGAATTCTACATTCTGTCTTACCTCTAATTCTTTCAAAAATAACTCTACCCTAACTTTCCGGTATATCAGTAAACTTTTCCTCTATAATTGTTACAATCTCTTTTTTTTCCCCTTTCCCTTTATAAAAGGGGCTTACATGTTCCGCCCAAACCCTAGGTACCTTCCCCTTTTCAAAATTTATTAAAAAAATACCAACCCTCCAACACTATATCCCCCCCTGCTTTTAAATTTCTGTCATGATCCCATCAGTTCCCCTGCTTTACCCCCCTTTTCTTCTACATAATGCCTCACGTCCTCCACCACACTTACATCTGCTCTTTTTCACTCCCAAAAGAAGGTATACCCCCCTGGCCAGTACATGAAATTACCGCCTCCCTTTCTTCCTTAACATTTAAAAGGGTTTCCCCAAAAATATTCTCGCCATCTCCCAAACCTCCCTCTCCCCATCTACAACTCCCCTACTTGTTTTTAACGGACAAATCCTTTTCCCAGACTTTTTTTAACTTGTTTTTAAATCACTCCAAAATTTTTTTTTTATTTTCAAAAA